ACTCTAACCAAACAAAAAAAATCCTGGTTACTTTAGTTGTTATAAGACAAATTATAATTTATATATATAGATGCGATATATAAACACATCGCAGTAGACGATGCATATATTTATCCTAATAATAATATTGTTAGAAATTATCTTATTCTCTCACAATAAATTAATATCAACTAATTTCTCATTGTGGTATTATCGGTACATTGAGTTAATCAAAATTAGAATAATATATAAGCAGGCAGTTTTATAGGCAGATTTGTATCAATATACAAAAGAGAGAATCTAATACTCTAAAAATTTTTTATAGTGGAACAGGTTATTGACAATACAATTGTCTAAAAGACTGAGACAGAAGGTTTGTTTTTTATAACAATAACTATGTCAAACAGCATGTTTTACTAGACCCAGACTAATAAATTAGGTAATAATCTAATAGGTTTTGAGATAATCTAATGGGTTTTATGCATATTCATTAAATTCTTCTTGCAGAATAGTGCAAAATAGACCTTTAATAAATTAAAACAATCATTCTAATAATTCGTCAGACTAATAAAAAAAGATTAAATAAGGTGTTTATACTAAATTTAGTGACTCTATTTAAGGCCCAATTGTAACAAATTAGCCCATACGTCTTGTTTTCTACTTTGCGCCGTATCTTGATAAATAATTTAGAGAAACTACATATAATGATAACAATAAGGGCCCGAAAAATTAAAATTACAAATAAAGGCCCAAGGCGAAAATAATTACAGTATATATAAAGGTCAAATTTTGAAAAACATCACAATCAAGAGTCAAATTTATCATAACTAGCTAGATTAAAAAATTATGTACATATTACTTTTTAATCTTAGCTCTTGTGTGTACAACTGTAACTAATTTAACTTACTCTTTTATAAATACAAATAAGTTTTTGCAGTTCTAAATATCTTAATGCATAGTAGTCTTCAAAGATGATTCAATAGTTTTTGTATAGAATAGATATATTAGTTTAGAACAGAATAAACATTACAAGATTAATAAATATCATACTTACCTAATCAAATTGTATCTTGGTTAAAAGTAAATTTCATTAAGCGAAAGAATATAGTATCAAATGTATAAAATAATATTGTATATACAGTGATAATATTCAAAGAACCATTATCATCATTCCATAACTAGAGTTTGTAACCAGATTGATTTTTTAAATCTGAATTTATTTAATAAATAATCTCCAAATTTATTATATTAATTCAAAAATAACAAAAGTAAAATTAAATACCAAATTAAATAATATTATCGTAAATATGCCAAGCATTTTTGTTCTTTATGCATTGGTAGTTTAAGTATTGCAGATTCAGTAGATTGGATTTGTATCTGAATTTAAATCTAACCGAAGAAAGTTGAATTCGGCTCCAAATTCTAATCATAACGCAAAGCTATTTTGGCTTTTAATTGTAAAATTTCTCAAAATTTGGGTCCTATATATAATTATTTTCACTTTAGGCCCTTATCTGTAATTATTTTTAATTTTCAGGCCTTTATATACAATTTTCTCAATAATTATATATCATAATGTGAGCGCTGACTATATATATATATATAAAGCCCAAAATCGTTTGTTAGTAGAATAAAATTTGCAATGCAAACCTTTCTATCCGCACCAAAGTTCAACAAAAAATACGTGTATTCAAATCCTGAAAACACATATCAACATTTTGTTAATGCTTATGCTTTCTATAAAATGGCATCAACTGGAATACTAGATGCAAATAAAAGCGAGTTATGTAAAGAGGTGGCCACAGAATGGCATTCTATAAAAAAAAAAAGATGATGAGAATATTGTAGCAAAAATAACAGAATATTTAAATACTCCAGTACAATTGCGTAGTTGTATTATAGCTTCCACATCCTATAAGCAGCCTTCTCGATCTCCATCTCCTTCTTAACTTTGTTCTAGCAATCTACAACAACAACCAGTCTCTTCTATAACTGAACCAGAAAAACCAATTCGTAATAACGCAATAGCCCAAAGGAATAGTTTTGATAAAATCAAAAGATTAAAGACGGAATTATCAGAATTAGAAATCTTTAGCACCATAATGACTTTAGATCTCAGATAATTGAAGTTAAAAAGAATATCGAAGAAGAAGAAGAACAGCTTAACAAACTCAAAAGATATGCAGCTAGCCAACAGAAATCTTAAATAAAAAAATTAAAAGCCCTTAATGATGATAGCATTGTTGTAAGATATGACTTTCCTGGTCATCTGCTCCTTCTTTTTCAACATCCAAATCTTCACGATCAAATTCACAGTTGCATAGAATTTGGAGAAGCCGATACATGGAAAAGACGTAAAGAAATTAAAGTTAGAACTGTAGAGAATCTCTGAACTACCTTAAAAACAAACTATAATATATATATATTCCGCACCAGTATGAGAAATTATATTTTACCTCGTTCAAACCGTAGTTTGGCAGCTAGAACCCACCACTATCTCGCTTTTGTTGGAATCGCTGGTGTTTCAAGAGATGATAGAAGGAACCATATTAATGAGCATTACTGTCTTGCATCTATAAAAAATGCAAAACAGTTTGCTATAGCTTTTGCTAGCTTCACTGTGGTGCTCTCGCAAGATGACAAAGCAAAAGTTCCTGTCAGTATTCTAGTAGTAGGGAGGCATTTTCAGACTATGCAATCTATTAACAAACCAGTATCGGTTTCGGACCACGATTTCCCTATTAGCGCATCACAAAAAATTAATACCATCTGTGTACTTGATGATAGATCTTAAAGAATCAAATGAATCTTTACAACATAGCTAATTGTCAATTTTTATTAGAGCTCAATAGCACTTTGGTTTAATATCTGCTTCGCATGTAACAGATATCGTATCTTTAATTACTAATGAAAAATTTTCTACAATTTTTAAGCATGACAATGAGGTCAAACCCCTATAGGTTATTATTGTGAATGGTGAACCTGACGAAAATCCTTGTCATTTAAAAAATATTAATCAATACTGTAAGTTATTTCGATTTCTAGATTTAGATTACTTTACAGTTAGGATACACGTGCCAGATCAATCGGTATACAACCCTGTTGAGAGAAGTATGGCTACACTTCGGTATGGTTGTAAAAAATAATATAATTTTAGTAATAGTTTTAAATATCGTATACTACAGTATCTTTCAAAATAATACTCACGTGATTGAGATCTTGGATACTCTTTCAAAAAAGGCTAGTTTTATTCTAGACCAGGGGTTTAGGTTCTTATTCTAGACCACAATTGATGATCTCTATTTTAAAAAATTTATTTATATAGAGGGTTTAGGGTAAAGAATCTAAACCCCAGGTCTATTTTAAGGACACCCTTCAAAAAAAAAGATCTGGTTCGTTTCACCAACAATCAATTTACTGACAATACGATTCATTGACAAATTTATTTCACCAATAGTACGATTTATCGACAGTATATTTCGCTGACAAGTTTTTTTTATAAATTACACTACCTTAACTCTAATTCTAACTTGACTCTAATAACAATGATCAGAATTATTTTGTCGTGAAATGACTGTTGGTGAATCATACTGTCAGTGAAATAAACTTATCAGTAAATAGTATTGTAAATTAATTGATTGTTGGTGAAATGAACAGAACTGAAAAAAGGATTATATGTTAGAATTAGGACTTAAACTACTATACTACTATAGTAATTTGCTGGCCTGCATTTCATTGTTTAAAATGTCTTTTTTTGATACAGCAAACTAAATATTTGTTTCATATTTAGCTTATAAATCAAAAATACTACTTTTGAATGGCCAGCATTTCAATATAGTCATTTAAGCCCTAGTTAGAATGTGAAATACCCGAATATAAGAGACACCTACGCAATATCAATTAATTTTTATTAATAGTATTCTTGATTTAAAAATTTTTAATATAAAAAATTGTGAAGTATAATACTCAGATACTAACTTGGATTTTGACTGTGAAATATTTGTATTTGGGGTACTATGGTCCACGCTATATGATATTAAATTTTAAAAATTAAATTCTTAAATAAAACTTCAGATACTGTAAGTAGTGGCATACGACAAACGATTTGATTTACTGAACTTAATAAACTTACATCAATTCATGTATTGTAAGATTGTAATTTTCATAATACAATCCTATTTTTAGAAAAACTTGCAGGAATTACATTAGAAATCAATCATTTTGGAAACTATTTAAATTCACAGGGCGAAATTTGTGATTATGAATTGGGACTTCGTAATTTTTAACATGCTAGCCAGGCTCTTGCCGATTTATAGAGAAGAGACCCAATTCATGAAAAACCTGTAAATGCTGAGTATATTGATAAAGAAAGCAATCTGTGTGATGAAGTTGAATTCACAACATCAGAAAAAACAAATGAGCCAAGTTTAAAAGAAAATGATTCATCTGTATCTTGGTTATGGATTGAGTCTCACTATCAAATTTGTAAATATTCTCTCGATATTAAAAAGTGCAACGATTTGTCATGTTGTACTCTAAAACGAGCTAGTGAGGCCGCTATATTTCTAGATGAAAATAATAGTTTTTTATCTCCAGTAATTAAAGGAAAAGATGGCTATTATTTTAATGCTATACACATACTTCAATACTTTAATAATCTAAAAATTTCTGCATATGATACATGTTTCTCACTCTTTTCTCTGACGAGCACTCAAGATGATATTGTAAATTATGTGGTAAATACTTCCCTACAACAGGCATGCTTGCAAAGCACAAAAAGCTATTCATTCTAGTACGCGAACTTGATGTTCAGATCAGCGATCTCAAACTAATTCAGCAACTTTTGATGATTTTTCTCTGTTATCCTCATTGTCTGAAGCTTGGCCGCGGGTTGTAATCATGCCAACTCAATTTCTTTCTGATATTGAATAGGTACTGTATTTGAAATACAAAGATTAGTAAATAAAAAAACCTATTATAAAAATAAAGCTTTATATATAAATAAATAAAATCTTATATCGATTAGATATGAATAAAATATATAAAGGTTAGAAATTCATATGATTTCTAATGCTGATTTTACGAAAAGGTGTATAGGATAATGATCAGGTTATACACGTACTAGAGAGGTATAGGATAATGATCAGATTATCCCTTAGATTGTAACACAGGCAAATTTGCCTGCATATTTTAAAATTTTTAATAAAATTTTAAATATTGAT